TGCCTCCCAGAACCTTCCAGCCTGCGTCCCAGAGCCCGTGGAACCCTCTGTCTGCTCCCTCTTCCGCATGACAGCCCTGCAGATGCCTGCCGACAGCCCGCCCACCCCACAGCCTCATTTGCCCCAGGCCTCTTGTCACCTTCTCCCTGATCCATTCCTTGGGTGACAATTTCCAGATCATCTGCTCCTTGGGACCCCCTCCCCAGTCACATTCAAGTTTGCCTACTTTCCTCTGCAAGGACTGGACCAGGTTTGCACCAAGTTACCCAGAGTAGAGCAGACAGGTCGCCTGCCTGGTTCTGCAGGGGGCCCTCTCTTGCTGCATCCTGGGAGCCCCACGGCCTGGCTGGCAACCCAGTCAGACTGCAGCACCTTAGGGACATGTGGTCCACTGGTCCCCCGAGATCTTCTTCAGAGGAGCTGTAGCAAAGGCGAGGCTCTTCTAGCCTCAAGATGAATGGCTGAAGTTTGGCCCCTGAGTGCATGACCTGACACAAAACTTGCTCTGGTCTGGCCAGCTGGGCCTGCCCACACATTGCAGTCGTCTTGGTCCTGTCACCAAAATCAACAGCTAGCCCTCCCAGCTTTGCAGTGTTCAATGAATTGGATCAGCAGCCCCTCCCATGACGGCTAAAAAGAGTCACAGCTGACATTCTTTGTCAAGCACCTACTATGTGCCAGGCACCTCATTACAATCCAGCGAAGTACGTGTGTTTACTCTCTCCATTTTATAGCTGAGGAAACTGAGGCACAGAGAGGTTAAAGAATTTTCCCAAGGTCAAGAAGTACTTAGTGAAAGAGCTGGAATTTGGATGTGGAAGGCCCAAATCCAAGCCTCCAGTTAAAGGGTTGCGCAGGCCAGGCTGTGGACAGAAGGTGACAGTCCACCCACCTACCCACCGCTTGGAGGGGAGCACTAGGCTGTGTTTGATACATGGGGGTACAGATCATGGAAGGCTTTGACAGTACATGGTGTTTGGACGCCCTTGAGCAAGTGGCTGGTTGCTTCTGGAGCTCCAGAACACATGGGCACCTGTCCATATGTCTGTCACTAGGCATTGTCATTTGTTTGTCGGCTCTCAGCCTTATGACAAGTGCCAGCAAGTGAGGCTGTGTTTGAATCTCCATCAGGTTGTTTGAGCATCTCCCAGCAGGCGACTCTGCTGATCAGTTTTTACTCGCTCTGCGGTAATTAGGGCCTTGGGTCTTACTTTGGCTAGCAAATCAGGGTGAACATGGTCCTTGATGGGGGGAAGGGTGTTCTAGCAGAAAGAGCACTGAATCAGGAGTCCCAGGGCCCAGGTTCAAGCTCCAGCTCTACCTTCACTGCATCATACAGTCTCCCCAAGCTTTGGAAAAGAGATTCGGAAAGTGCCTCAAGGAAAGAAAAACAGCTTCACTGTACCAGGCACCATGCTAGGCGCTGTAAAGACACTTCCAAGACACAAAAATCCTTTAAGGTGGAAGGTATTATCCCAATTTTACAAGAAGATGACACTCCCATGATGCTAAGTGCCTTGGCCACCTGGGCTAAGCTCGTGATCATGGACTTGCTCATGTCTCTCCGGCCAGAACAAGAGCTGAGCTGAGTGATCAAGGGAGGAGGTCCAAGTCCCTGGACCAACCGAGAGTGGAATGCGGCCCTCGCTGCCCATCAAGGCTGGTGGTCAGCGGTGAGGAGAGAGAAAACCCAAATGCTCCTCTTCAAATGCATCATCAGCGAGGGCGCCCTGGCGAGAGTGCAGGGCAAGGGGGCGCTGGCCAAGGTAGTGGTTCCAAGATGGGGCAGGGCCAGGTCTGTGTTAGCCTCCAGCCCCAAACAACTGTGACCTCCACCCTGGAGAAACCACTTCCTGTTCATCCTCTCCTGCTCAAGGAGCCCCAGCAGCTCCCAGCACTTGCTCAAGGGGCATCCAAACACCTGTGCTTTCAAAGCCTTCCATGATCTGCACCCCCATGTGTCAAAAACAGTTCCGGGTCTCCCCTCCGAGAGCACGAGAGGTAACCAGGCCTTGTGGCCACGTGACTGCACAGCACCTGGCGCAGGGGAGGCCCCAGGCCCCTCCCAGGGACACAGAAGCTCCAAGAGGCAGGTTTTGTCTGTTCCCTTCTGTTCACTGTGATGTCCCCCGGTGACCATAACAGAGCTTGGCACATAGTAGGTGCTTAATAAATATAGGAGAGAAAGAGAGAGCAGGAAATCAGATTTGTTTTTTTCCCTTCGTAGGCTGGCAGCCATGAGGAGGAGGGACTCAGCCCACATCTTCAGGATCCACAGGCCCACAGACCTACAGACCCACAGGTCCATAAAGCCACATCCACAGGTTCACAGTCACACCCAGAGACCTATAGATCCATGGGCCCGTGGACCCCACATGCTCACACATTCAGAGACCCAGAAACCACGGATCATGGAGCGCGCACCCACAGACCACACACCCACAGCTGTCTCTGAGCCCCCAGCCCAGCCCAGGACTCCTGGGGGGCACAAGGGTTAAGGGCACAAGGCAAGAGCACATCCTGGGAATGTGTGGGAAGGAAATGTTCTGCAGAAAAGAACAGGAGGGAAGGAAGGGGTCAGAAAGGAGCGGAGGCGGGGAAAGAGGACAAGAAAGGAAGAGGAGAGGAGGAGGGGAGAGAGGAGAGAGAAGGAGGGCCCTGCAGCCCGTGGGGTCCCTGTGGAACCCTGCACCCAGCCCCGCATTCCCTTTCCAGACATAGTTTTTGAGCACCCTGAGCCGGGGGCTGGGTACTCTAAGAACAAGGCAGCTGAGAGGAGACAGAGGGAATCAAAGAGCCCCGCAAGAGCCTGTTTCATTACCTTGGACAGCGCTCAGAAGCGGCTGGGGGTGGAGCCCCTCCAGGGTGGGGAAGGGACAGAGTGATGCCCAGAAACAGACCCTCCTGGGAGGGCTGAGGCCCAAGGGAGCCCCACGTGAGGCTCAGGGCGAGGGTGCAAGACATGATAGTAGAGGGGGCTTAGGGAGGGGAGTCCGAGGTGGCACCTACAGGCTCAGGGTGTAGATCTGGGTCCAGGACCACAGACAGGCTAGTCACACTATCCCTGAAACTGCTCCCAGCTTGGCTGTGGGCTCACAGGGCCAGGAGGAGCGGTTCTCCCAGTAACCTCCGCCCTCACCTCCCCACCCAAGGTCAAGAGAAGTCAGAAAACTGCGCTTGGTGCCCCCTGGTGGGCCTAGAAGATGCCCTCTCAGAGGCCCTGGAATAGGGAGATGGGGGGAAAGGGAGCAAAGAACCTTTGTCAAAGGAACAGGAAGGGGCCTTCTGCGGGGCCTGTAGCCCCTCCCCCAAGCTGGCCATCATGGTGCCTAAGGCAGGCCAGGGCCACGCTGGTAGCCAGGAAGGGAGCTCAAGGCGGTGTGGTGCCCAGGCCCGGTGGCGGTTCATGAGCTTGGTGCCAGGCCAGCTCAGTCCCACCCCTCGCAAGAATGTACTCTTCCCTTTTCCTCTCCCTCCCCCTACTGCAGCCCCAGAGCTGGCCCCCACTCAGTGCCACCCTGCTCTGTCACCCACTGGCATCCCCTTGCTCTGGTTCAGTGTGGATGGTAAAGGCAGGAAGGAGACAGGGAGGGCTCTTAGACTCCTTACCCAGTTCCCATCCCAGGCTGGGTCCTGGAGCCTGAACAGAAAGTTTGTCCTAAAGGGTGGACAAGAGTGTCCGAAGCTAGTCCTTGGGGCTGATGAGAGACATTGATCCAAGAGGTGACCCAACAGAGTGGACAGGGCCCGAAGACTGCAGTCTGAACTCCTCGGCCAGACCCTTTCCCATGGGGCCCAACCCATGGACCCAAGCCCCCATATGCATAGCATCCTACCCCTAAGCGGTGCCAGTATCTGCTGGGTGAATCCCCCAGGTGGTGAGAGACAGGATAGAATGGCTCCCTGCTCAGGCCAACCTGAGCACTCCAGCCCCTAGGACACTCCTCACAAGGCATGTCAGACCCCATCACACCACACAGGCAAAGACGCAAGCAGCTTTCTCTCTCTCTCTCTCTCTCTCTCTCTCTCTCTCTCTCTCTCTCACACACACACACACACACACACACACACACACACACACACACACACACACCCCTGGCCCCAGAACACAGACTCCCAGGACCAGAATACAGCTCAGGGGTCTCCCCACATGTCAATCTCATCCATAGCTCAGGGACACCCAGGACCCTGAAGGAGGAGAAAGACACAAGCAGAGTAGCTGACTGATGCCTCTGCCTGGGCCCATCCAGGAGACCCCTCCCCCAAGTATCATGACCACCTTCCCCAGGAGGACTTCCCACCCCCTGCCAAGGCCTCTTGCCCACCACAGCCTCTGCACACACCACCCAGCCGACAATTAAAACCCAATCATCATAACACTCATTATATAACCAGCCCCAACCTGCTGAGGATTCTTTTAGCCCCTGGAGTCCCAGCTTCAACCCTGGCCTGGCCTCATGCAGTGAGGCCTTGGGCACCCCTGGGGGTGCTGACCAGGGAGGGGGCCGCCACCACCCCAGCCTCCAGGAAAGTTAAACACTGCCTGGGATTCCCCCATTCAATCCCAGCGGCCGCTCTCCCTCCGCCAACACTCCAGCTCAGCCTCCTGGACAGTGGCACCAGCTCTGGTCCAGCTGGCCGCAGAGCCGCAGCAGCGGAGGGGCCGCGGGACAGACAGACAGCCTGGGCCCCGGCAGGCAGCCTGACTTGTTGAATAAATTTCTGCAGCGCTGGCTCAGCGGGCTTCAGCATTGGCACGGAAAGAACTTTCGTGGCCTTGGAGAAGGGACCGGTCAAAGTTTCCGTCCTTCCTCCCAAGGCACCTGCCCCGAAGGCACCGGCTGGGGGGGCCGACCTAATGGACACACACGGGTGAGGGAACCGGTCCCCAGAAATAAATAAATAAACGCCTCAATAAAGAATCGACGCGCCAAGAAACTGGCATCGGAGCTGAGCTCTCCCTTCCTTCCCCTTCACCCCCCATCCCCACCTCCACCTACCTGGGCATGGACTTGGCTGGGCAGCGGGGGGTCGTCCAGAATAGAGACGCGGGGACGACGCGTCCCCCCCCAAGCCGGAAATCGAGGGGGACCCCCCAGCCCCCCCCCCACCGCCAATTCAGGATCAGCTGAGCCCCAGAGGCGCCAAGGGAGGCGGGCGGTGGGCAGCGGGCCCGGGGGCCGGGTCCATGGCCGGAGGAGACCTCAGGCTGACGGAGGGTCGGCAGCGATCCGGCGAGAAGTCGGCAGCGCGGACGAGCCGCGAACCGAGCCGGAGTTGGGGCGCGCGGCGGGCGGCGGGCGGCGCTCGGGCGCCGGGGGAG